CTGGGAATATGCTGTTAAAGTCAACTAAAAGATGCATGTTAGTATTATGAATATTTTGGATATGAAACAGGATAGCAGACATTTAAAACTGAACAAAAAAAACCAAAGAAATCTGGAGATGTTATCAGTAACCAAGGCAAAATTGACAGCTCATCACAAGAAGATGGTGTCGGTAGCCATGAACGAAGGTATATGCATATCACACAGTTATATTCAATAATGTACTTTTGTGAGTAGTGCTTATAGTCATTTACGACTGTAATGCAAGTTGATGTATTCATGTGAACACCGAACAAGGAAAGATATTGATCCCAGGTTAAGATAAAAACGACAAATTTCCTTTCTTGAATGATCAGACTGCATGAACATAAATTTGATAACCTCCAAAACAAAACTGCTTTCATTTAATCATCACAGAGAAACTTTGCTGCTTACGATGACTGATAGTGAAGAAAGCACTAAGCGGCCGTTTCGTCTTATTTTGGGACTCATCAGCAGTGCGCATCCACTACCGATAAGCGAACCCCGGCCGTTACGATATGAAGCAAGCGTCATACCCACTTGACCAACGGGTCTTGGTGACGAAGAGGTAACAAACTAGACTCGAGCAGACGCTATAATAAGTCTAGTTTATGTGTTTGTGTGTGAACGTGCCTGAACTACATAACAGTTCTAAAATAAGCGGTCATAAGCCACTTTCGTTTCGTTAATTAAATTTCATAACGGAAAGAGTATCTTTCGAGAAAAGAATGAAAAGTATTGAAATGTTACAAAAAATGAGTCAATTTGAAATCGCCAAAGGCCTTACTTGGACACGACATACTGTTAAAGTCACCCAGAAGAAGAATGATGATAGTTGAAGCGTTTTTAATATGAAAAGACTTTCGAAAGTAGACAAAAGAGATTACAGAAATATAAGGACATTATAAGTGTTCAACCCAAAATTAACAGCTAAATTAATGAATGTACGTCGCGTCTCTACTGAAGTGTAACTGTATACGATATGATAGATACTACATAAAAACAATCGAAATGGATGCATTGCAGCTAAAAGCCATCATTAACCAAAAACATCTAAGACGAAACACTGGTCAAAATAAAATCTGCTATGGGGTAATGAAAAATAGGCAAAAGTGTTATATATTGACAAAAGCCAAATAGAACTGAATTATAACACAAGAGAATATGTCTGAAGACAGATTGGTTCAAGAAACAATCTAAAAAAAAAAAGAAGACAGAAATGTAGGAAAGTTGGGGGTTAATAGTTTGCGGTTCCATCAAAGGCAATGGTATAAATAAAGTTGATAAAAATATCGATAGATCAAAAAACAGCGAAAAATATATTAGGAAAAATTGACAAATTTACCTGTTGCTTTGGCGTTTCATTTTGGCATTTAATGTAAGTTAAAGTTATTATTACTTTACTGAATACAAAAATTGGCATGATCTTCAGTGTTCCACTTCAGGAACCACGCTTAGAAGGGTTTTCTAATATTGTTGAATGCCCCCAAGAGAGAGGCGAGAGTAGAGGATGGGCTTACTTGATGGGTTGTGATCTAGAGGAAGATTCCACATCGAGGTGTTGCCTCTTTTTCTGCTCTTGCTGTGGCCCTCTGACAACTTAGTCCAATTCAAAGCCGATGAGTAAACGAAGGCGAACGACTGGCGCCTCATAACCAGCTATTCGACCAAATGACACTCGAGAGACCATCAGGGTAGTCCGTCTCGAGGAAGGAAAACCCTGATTTTAAACCTCCGGTGATATTCAACCAGAAAATCCGGAATGGAAGCCCGAAGGCAGTTGCCTGTTAACACTAACAACTTTCCGGAAACTCCTGAAGCCAAGCTGGCTCTAAGTCTCTATTCTTTTGGATCTTGTTGGTACAGAAGAGAGGGGTTCCGTATAATCTGAATATCAGACAGCCTCCTTACCATCGCTCTGTCTTTTCTACAAATATTTTCATAGCAGCTGCACTGCTGAGCATTTTTCTCTGTTGTCCCGACTACATTAATTTAAGCGTACTACGAGATTGGTAGCTAGGTCTCACCGTTTTACTTCCAAACTATCTAGATCCATCCGACACTTGTACTCTTTTTTTGCACTCCCCACCTTTGGAACTCGTTTCCAACATCTTGTTTCTCTGACAACTACAATCTTCAAAAACTTAAATGCAACGTCAATTGTCATCTATTGTCTTTAATCCGGTTCACTTTTTGCCCTTTCTCAATCCTCCCCATTCTGAAATTTCACTTTCACTTTCACTTTCACTCCACGCAACTCAGTGCGTTCTAGTGGCATTACCATCTTACTTGGGATGAAATGATGAAAGAAATAGCTTTTGCTGTCAGTGAGGTGGATATATATAAAAGCAAAAATAAAAACATTTGAAAATCGAATGAAATCCTCTACGCTCAAATAGACTAGAGAAAGGTTTGAATCTACGTATCCCCCACCGGTATTATCACTTGCATCCCTAAATCGTTATTATCTGAAAAAAATTCTTACAATCTAAAAGGATTTCATGGATTTAAATAAGCCGTGAAAGGTTAATAAGTCATAAATATTGACCCAATCAATCAATATCGAAAAACTTACTTTATTTAATAATTTTTAAAGTGTATGTTAGTTACGTAATAAAAATTCATATTGATCCTGTTGTATACTGTACTATGAACTTTAATGGGTATGTTCCAATCTTCATAAATACGTTGGAAACTATTGTAAGTGGGAGTAATATGTCGTTGTTGAAGCTTGGATAAGCATGGAATAATAATAATACAACACAAAATGTACGTAAACAAAATGTATTGAAACAAGGAAAAGGTACACAATATTTACAGTTAGTTTTGGTATATTCTTGGGAAGACTGTTCCTGTAGAATGGGTTGTCTTAATCGCAGTCGCGCAGAGTCTCTCGATTCGATCTCTTCTTACTTCTCCCTCGTCTTCCGGTACCAACCCATATTTATATCGTCGGTACTCCACTATGTAAATTAGGTGGATCGTACAACAACAGTCGTCTAAGTAGTCCACTACTAGCAGTGGTTTATCTACATCAGGCCGCTGGAGAGTATTGTATTTTGTTGATGCTATAAAGATTACCATTCCATTACCAAATTCCGTATGGTTAGTCCACACAGAATCTTTTCTAGTTTACAACAGATATATGTAAGGAATTCAAACAACTTAACTCGCCGTAAATATGCAACAAAAACCAGCCGAAAGAAACCTTTGTCAATTACTCATGCCAGAAATTCCAAATATTTAAATTGAATCTATATCAGGTGTATTTAAAAAAAAAGAGAATTAGCTTTAGTATATATAAATGAATAAACGAATTCAATTCTTTGTTAAAGCCCTAATGTGTTTGTATAAAAAAAGGCTTCTCCATTCAGAACATTGGTTTTCATGGACCTGTACAAATCCATGTCTTTTGTAGCTCTTAATAAAATTTGTTTGTTATATCTCCTAATCGTAAATTCACCATCCAAGCTTGCATTGACTCCCAAGAGATTATTCTTTAATCATTACAATCTTAAACTATTCATGTTTAGAGTTAACTGTTATCTTCCCCCATGGATCTCCATAAACTATGCCTCTTAATCTGTAAATCTGTTCACCTTGTACAAGATTCAAAAGCCAATCTAGTTTTTGAGCCTTGGACAGGGTGAACCTTATTGTAAAAAATAAAATGAAAAAAGATCTTTTGAAACATGATGGTCAATGTTCTGAAGTTTTGTTTTCTATGATTACGTGCAATATATATATATATATATATATGTGTGTATCTATATGTATGTATATATATATATATATATATGTATATATATGCATGTGTATATATTTGTGCATATATATGTATGCGTGTGTTTATATGTATGCATGTGAGTATATATATATATATGTGTGTGTGTGTGTGTGTACATATATGCATGCGTATATATATATATTCATATATGTATGTATATATATATATATATATATATATGTATATATATATATATATATATATATATATATATATATATATATATATATATATATATAATGTATATTGATATCTTGTATGAATATTTTATACAATATATCTTATTGATATAAACGTTATTTTTTATGGTTTCGCGTGTTTGAGTTATACTTGTTTTTGTTGTTGACTTCCTTTTTTTTAAATGGTTAAAATAATAACAACAACCCTATTCTCTGAAGTCCTACTAAGGAAATGTGTACCTCCAACATAAATCGAGTCTGCATCCCATTTTGATTAGGGAAAACCGCTTTTTTTTTTTAAACTAAGCTTACCGCTCCCGTTTTGGCCGCAAAGATCTAATCCTAATTCCACCATCCCAGCTCACTACGTAAGGTTATGCGTTGAATCTTGTGTCCCACTTACCTTCTTCTGACCATGTGAGTACCAAATTTTCGAAGCCATCTTTCCTCATTATGTACCCTAGAAATTTCAAATATCTCTTCCTGACTTTTAATAAGTCTTTTTTGTTGCGATATTCTTTGATATTCTGTCTTTGCTCTCATATTCGTTCTATTCTCAGTATCTGCTTATAATTTCTCTTTCCTCTGTGAGGTCATTGTCCAGCATTCACGGCCGTACAGGTGGACTGATAATATTTAACGTTTGAGTACGTTTTTCTTTGTTTCTCATCATATTTAAATTGTATGACTGCTATTTTTATTATCTAGTTAAATTTTGTTTATTGCATCTCGCTAATACAAAATAGGGTGATTGAACCGTGTACTTTGCTGATTACCTGACCGGCACAGTAAACCGAAACACTATCAATCACGGCAGCCTTGGCATTAAAAAACAAAAATAACGAAAATGTTGTCACGGTGCATCGAACTTCACTTTCATGACAATCGATCAACAGAGGCTGGTTGCTTTCAAATGGCTATACTTCCCACTAAAATGTTGCGATGGCAACTGTCACTGGCCAAACAGTTCCCATGGTAACAGCCAGTGACATCTTTCCAAAGATGAACCAACATCATAATAACAAACAAAAACAAATATAATTATTTGAAAAGAGAAGAAAAGAGGAGGCAATAATTATATAAAAAGAAAGAGAGAGAAAGAAGATGGAGGTGAAATGAACGGCTAAGAGATCGGATGAGAGAGAGATGGAGATGAAAAGGAAACGATAACAGAGGCTGATTTATATTGGAAAGTACGACAAAACTGTAGAAGACAACAAGGATTTAATAAATAAAAAAAAAGAATAAAAAAAGCGGAAATGCATTACATCGGAAGAAAAGTGAAAAGGAAGTAGCGAGAGAAAGAGAGGGTAGGACTTCAGAAAGAAAAATATTTGAATAAGAGAAAGTGAAATAAAGAGAGTGTGAGGAGTGGCTGAAAGAAAGAAAGAAAGAAAGAAAGAAAGAAAGAAAGAAAGAAAGAAAGAAAGAAAGAAAGAAGGAGACAAGGGAACCGTAAAAAGTTAAAAAGGGAGATAAGAAGAGAAAGATATTATAAAAATCTCCGAATGAGAAAGAAAGAAAGAAAGAAAGAAAGAAAAGGGAAAAGTAAAAGTTTAAAGAGGGAGATAACAACAAAGACAAACGGTTAGAAACGCCGAATGAGAAAGAAAGAAAGAAAGAAAGAAAGAAAGAAAGAAAGAAAGAAAGAAAGGAAAGAAAGAAAGAAAGAAAGAAAAAAAAGAAATAAAGAAATAAAGAAAGAAGAAACAAGGGAAGCGTAAAAAGTTAAAGAGAGAGGCAACAACAGAAAGAAACTGTTATAAATGTCAAATGAAAAAGAAAGAAAGAAAGAAAGCAAGAAAGAAAGAAAGGAGACAAGTGAAGCGTAAAAAGTTAAAAAGAGAGATAAGAACAGAAAGAAACTGTAAAAACCTCCGAATGAGAAAGAAAAGAAAGATAGAAAAATAGTAAACAGTGACAACCGGTAAAACAAGCAAGGTAGAAGCGGAGGTGGGGAGATAAAATCAAGAAAGAACGCTAAAAGATATTATAATGAAGAGGAAGGTCAGCGATAAATTCAAAGAAAGAACAAGTATGAAAAAACGTATGAAAAAGTGGGAGACATATTAAAATGGTCTAACTCGAGAAAGAGAGACTATGAAGTATAAAAACAGTATTGAATAAGAGAAAAATATGGAGAGAAGAAACGACAAAAGAAATGAAGTGCAAGGAACGTAGTAAGAAAGAGAAGTGATTAAAGCATAAATAGAACTGCAAAGGAAATATTAAGAGCAAATCAGACGAGAAAGACGAAACGAAAACAGACAGAAGGAAAGATAGAAACATAGCTATAGGAGACAAATGTTAAAAATAAAAAGAGTGAGAAGGAAAGAAAATTCTAGAGTCTTTGAATCAGAAAGAAAGGAAAAAAGAAAACCACACAGAAAGAAAGAAAGAAGAGATGAAAACAAAGAAAGTAGAAAGTGAGAGTACGATTTAGAGCATAAATGGAACTGCAAAGAAAATGTTAAGTGCAAAGCAGAAAAGAAAAGAAAGAAAAAAGAGAAGCAGAAATAAAGAAAAAAACACAACTGGGGTAGTCAATGAACGCAGCGAGAGGAGATTAGAGGGGAAAGAATAAAGGAAAACAGTGGTTGAGAGAGAGAGAGAGAGAGAGAGAGAGAGAAAGAGAGATGTAAAAGAATGAAAAGAAAAAAAATATCATGACAGAAATAGAGAATAGAAATTATTGCTGTCAAAAGAGACACTAGAGATTTAAAGAAACGCTAAAAGCTATTGACTGAGAATAAAGACAGCGTCAGTAGTTGTAGACAGAAAGGAAGAAGAAATCCATCTATTAATTCGTTGTGGAAAGAATCAGCATCGTGATCTCCCTTCATCTTTTTCAGAATGAAGAAACGGCTTACTCCTGTTTTTTTTATCTTAATTATTTTCTCGTTTACCCAAACTTAACCCCGCTAATTTATTTCGTTCAGCTCTTCCATATTATTTGTGCCTGCGTATAGAACTGGTACAGAATTGGTTTACGGAAGCAAGGGGCTTTTCTGCTTACGTTACTTTACTAATTTAGCTTGTTTACAATTTATCCCAAGAAATAAAAGAATGAAGGACTTAAAACATCTAAGGAAAAGTAAGTGAGATAAAAAATGGAAGGAGAGAATTAAAAAGAAGCGGGATTGAAAAGAAGAGAAATGTAAGGAAAGTAAGAGAGAAAAATAAGAGAAAGGATGAAAGTGCAACAGAAAGATGAAGGGAATGAGACAGAAAGGAGAAAGGAAAGAATGGCGTTGAGAAGCGCCGTAGGGAAACAAAAGAGAAATAAGGAGTATGAGAATATTTGGATAAAATACCTTAGTGAAAAAGGAGGGAACCAGTGAGAGTTAAAATAACATAGAAAATAATGGTAAGAATAACAAAGAGAATTTGGTAAGAAAGAAAGAAAAAAAGAAAGAAAGATAGAAGGAAAGAAAGAAAGATGGACAGAAAGAAAGAAAGATGGAAAGAAAGAAAGAAGGAAAGAAAGAAGGAAATAAAGAAAGAAGGAAAGAAAGAAGGAAAGAAGGAAATATAGAAGGAAAGAAAGAAGGAAAGAAAGAAAGAATGTGAAAAGGTAACCTATTTAAGTAAAAACAAATCATAGAAAATGGCAAAACAAGCTGGAATAAAAAGGTGAGTCTTCGAGACAACAGATAGACAGGTTGCAGGAGGGCTTGATGAAAAGAGCGCTAACTGGATTGAAAGTGAAAACCAAAGTACAGCAACTGGTGATGGAGAAGGGGTAACAAAAACAATATCAATGTTAAAAAAGAAAGCAATCGATGGACGCCAGCGGTGTTGACGGTGACGACAAAAAGTAAAGAGAACACCTATGATGGCGTCGGCATTGATGTCTGTCCGTTTGCAGACAATGCACATGTTATTGTAACTGGTAAAATACAAGTATGCAACGAAGCACAGCTGAACACAATATCGAATTAATGAGTAGCCGTCGGCGCATGACTGATTTGATTCCAACGATCGTCATTACTATTATTATTATTAATTTGTTGTTTCTTGGTAGTAGAAGCCTCGTGTCACCGAAGTCGTTATATGAGTCACACCATCGATAACGCGTTGCTGAGTGGTTTGAACTTTAGATCTCTGATCATTGTCGAATTATCAAGGCGGTAACTTTGATAACACCTACTTGGAAAGACGATGTCAGCGTGAGGTGCTGTTGAGATGTGTCTGGAAACAATATGCCAAAACAATGCTTTGTGTAACTGACTCCCAAGAGGATTCTTCTCTAATCACTACAATCTTAAATTATTCAAATCTAGAATTAACTATCATCTTCCCTACATAAGCCCATGAAACAGTTTCATTTTAATCTGTTGACGGAACGATCAGGAGGCTGTCAACGTGTGTGCTGAGAGAAAGTCATCCTGGTCGATGTTTGGAGCGCACTAGCCTTGTTCAAAACTGCTAATCATGCCAGAATATGTGCTCCCTCCCAGAAACAGTAACTAAGGCCTGTTCACCATAATTAAAGTATAAACCCCGTGTAGGATCTATGGGGTTTTAACAAATACAAATTTTCCTGGGATTAGCAAGGCGCCCTAACAAACGAATATATCGGAAACAAATCACCAGCTGTTGAGAAGTGTCTGGAAACAATATTACTATCGGAAAGGTGTACCATTTTTATTTGCCCTGTTTACACTCCGACTATTCTCCTCGTCTTTGTTGTTGTTATCACAACGTTTCGGCCGTTGTGCCCTCCAGCCTTTATCGGGTGTATATCGACGTGGGTAAATGAACTGAAGGTTTTATTTAATCAACGGGAGTAGAGCAATCTCGTTCCACTGATCTCGACGAGGTATATATCATCGATTCCTTTTCTTACTGTTTTGTTATTAATCCAAGTGTCATTTTTATTTTACCTTTACCTATTCTCGTGCATTATTATTCATGAAAGCACTTAATTTTTTTTATACAATGATGTTCACCTAGTACAAGGCCCGAGAGACACTTGAGGTAGAGTGTTATAGAGTATAAACAGAGTTTATAGGGATATGTAACCGAGACATGAAACGGTAAAGACTGTAGTTACCGGGGAAGCATTCTCTTGTGAGCTGCTTCCATAAATCCGTTCATTAATATACCTAATGGCATTTGACTGCAACTTTAGTGTTTCCGTTCGTCTTTTAACATTCATTCTTTAATATTTATTGACCATCTGTCTTAGATTACCTGATATGGGTCAATTTCAATGTGTCCGAGGATTTTACCTGTTTTTTTTTTTTGTTTTGTTTTTTAAATCTAGATTCTAGTTTGTGTAATGTCATCCAGCCTGAACGTTGGGCCTTTTCCTTGCAGATGATGATGGGAGTAAGAGAGATGCTGCTCTAACGAATGGATATTAAGAATAAAATAGAAAATGTGAGAAACGACGAAATTTTAAGAATATGAAACATAAACAAGTTAACACCGCCCCCAAACACACAAAAATGCAAAACATAGTGAAGAAAGAACCCTTGGAGAATTTAACCCACAGAGAGGTAAGCGTAGAGAAGCAGAAAAAAGGCGGAAATAATTCTCTTTTATCGATAGGGGAACAAGTAGAAAGAAGAATTTTTTTTATTTTTATTTTCTGAATTTTAACCTACCGTAATGAATGGATAAACATTCCTAGAGATCCCTTGACTTGAACGCCTATTGTGACCAACGTTCAATACAAACACCAAGGATTACGGTCATATGATATTGAAACACCGGTTCTCGTACGATCACCGAAGTTAAGCAAAGTCTTGCCCAGTTAGTAACAAGGTGGGTGACAATTTAGGAATACCAGGTGCTGTAAGCTTTTTGTGTGAGGGTGGGGTAATGAATAAAGGCTCAGATGTGTTAATCAAAGAACCGAGTTCCAATTCCAGTTGAGTTCATTATATTCACGTATGCGTCCTTTGACAGGATTCGAACCTGCATCCTATACGGGACTGTCATTTACGTGGCCGAGTCGTTTAAGGCACGTCAGCGTAAATGACGATTCCGTATAGGATGAAGGTTCGAATCCTGTCAAAGGACGAATATTTCTATGAAAATTTCTCGGACATTCAGGCCGGTAAATGTTATTTAATACTGTTTATTATAAACAGAGCATTTACTTAAATACTTGTATCTATAAAAGAATGTTAAACATAAAAATGTCTTTATATATATATATATATATATATATATATATATACTGTTTAATATTTCGATATAATGTTTCTCATTATTAAAATCGTTATTTTCAGTGGGTTTACGTACTTGAGTTTCTAAACCATTTTTTTCCTTAAACAGTAAAATTATTAAAAAAAAAACAAAAAAAAACAGAGACAACACAATCACGTCTTACCATTTAAATTAACCTTTAAAGTAATACTTCTGACTGGGAGCAAAGTTAAGTTTCTGCCCTCGGGTGGATAAACCACGTATCATCTCTGAAATTGTGTCTCTATCTTCGAACAGTGCGCGATTCAGTTGTGTCTCTGCCTGCAGACAATGTGCATCTGAAAATATTACTGAGAGGTACCAAGACTCAGCGGACATCTGCCCACGGCATTCCCTACCTATAAAATGGGTAATAGGTATTACTACCCATGCCAGGCCAACAGATAGTTGCGTTGGCTGGGCTATTTTGGGACCTGGCCCTGGTGCAAACGCACGGGCTCCACATATCCTGCCAGCCTTGGGCCTCAAGTAAATACTAAGTAATAAATATATAGTTATTAAATAAATATATTTTGTGTCAATCTTCTCCAAATCGCGAATGATTCTTTGCAAAAAAATGTATTGTACGAATTTTGAAATGTACGAAATTTCAAAAACTTTTCCAATATTTCGATTTTCGTGAGTCATTCTCAGGGTTGAGTAATTAGTCAATTGTGTGAAAAACAGTAATAAACGTCATGTTAGTGCAACCTTATATTTAAATTTAATATAATTAGTTGCAAATACAAAAACTTAAACTTATGTATCGTAATGATATAATATGGTAATCCATATGGAATTTCCTGGAAGATATAGATCCAGGGAGAGGTCTATGCCAAATTAGGGAGCAAAATTATTGTAAATTAAAGAATATCAAACACCATAGGTAATAATTTTCTTTTTATTTCAAGAGAGCTCTAAGAAAAGTAGCTCTCAATTTTCAAGACCTACGAACAAAATCACATTTTCTTTTCTGTGATTTTCTCCGTAGGTCTTGAAGATTGAGAACTGCTATTTTAGAGCTCGCATGAAATACAAACTATTATCTATGGGATTTTAAGTGTTTGACATTCTTTAATTAATATTAATAATAATAATAATAGCAATAATAATAATATATATATATATATATATATGAAGAAATATATTCTTAAGATGTGCTATAATTATTGGATAAATTGCTCAATATCAGAGATAGAGAAAATGTGTAAATATAAAAGTGAACATAGAAGTCAACACTTACAGGCGACAGTCTGTTTCATGCTAGATTGCATCTAGCATGAAACAGAGTGTCGCCTCTAAGTGTTGACTTCTATATTCACTTATATATATATATATATATATATATATATTGGAGAATTGTGGGTTGGAGAGAGTTATTATTTTTATTAATTCATGGTTGCTTTGCAAAGAGTCACTCAGTAAACCTAAACTGTCTATACTCTTTGATAAGACATGTTTGAAGGATAAATCTTATTTAAATATTTATATATATATATATATATATATATATATATATATATATATATATATATATATATATATATATATATATATATATATTAGTTGTATATTCGGGTAGCAAACACTCTTTAATAATTGTTTCTTTAAACAAAACAGGCAAGGCACATTTGTGTATTTTTTTTTATTATTTTTCTTGTATACTTATTATTTTCTAGATTTAATTGATGTAAAAATTCATCCAATGTTTCTTGATACCGAATACATTTTGATAAATTCTTAGCTTTTGTCAAGGATTATTTTTGTTGTACGGACATCATAAAATTTTTCTAAGTGCTGTTGAACATGGTATAATAAAATAAAATAAGAAATTAATCCGTAATGTTATTAATTATGCATATGGTCACAATGTACTGCCGTATTTGAAAGTTAAGAATATATCTACCATCAGCAACGTTTATACTATTATTGTACATAGACAAGAAAAACATAATAAGCAAAATTACACTGCCAGTCTTTTTCAAGAAGAATAATATATATATATATATATATATATATATATATATATATATATATATATATATATATATATATATATTGTCTGGTGAAGCTCTTCATTCATAACCAGATGAGATGGACAGGACAGCTGACTAGAATAGGAGATGACAGATTACATGTGCAGTTATTTTACGGAGAATTACCACGTGGTGAAGCTCCGAAGTAGAAAGCATAAAAACGGTTCAAGGATTTTGTTAAATACAATCTTAAAACGGTTGGTATTAATGTTGAGTGCTGGAAACGTTGACAGAAAATCGATGTGAATAGAGAAGAAAAAGTGAAACTATACTTTAAAGGCTTTCCAAGAAAAGCGAGTTGATCATGCAATCTTGAAACGGGTTCTTAGAAAGCATGACCTCAATCGATGATAATTTTCATCCTGTTCTTATATGCCACATCTATGGTAGGTTTTTCTTATCCAAAGTAAGAATGGCTACTCATCTACGATCTTATGATGGTAAACAATCCTAAAGTACATCGAAATTCATCCACACTGACTTAAATGAAAGCGGAACGGTCAGCAGCATAACCAAGGAGTCATAGAGTGCATAAAAATCTTATAAACTCAAATATACAGGTGTTTGTATGCCATGTATTCAGAAAAACCTGCAGAAGTAAAGTGAAGGTTTTGAGTCATTATCGTGCTCATTGAGTTTAATACATAATTTAATAAATGGCCACAGTCTGATAAGAAGCGGTAATCATTATATAAAATTGAAACTGAGAAGAACACGTGTTTTTTTAAGCTAGCAGAACTTCTGTCAAAAAGAGCACAATATATAACTAGAGAAATAATGTTCAATAAATAATTACATAAAAATTCAAGTGAGTATCTGGTTATTCGACTCAAAGTTTCCGTGTACGAACGCTCGTCAGGGCTATATATGCAATATATTAATATTTAAATCAAATAAATCAAATGATTTATCAAATATTTTCGCTCTGGTGAGCGTTTCGATGCCAATCTTGTGTGTTTTTCTTTTTTTTCTTATATATATATATATATATATATATATATATTATATATATATATATATATATATATATATATATATATATATATATATATATATATATATATATATATATATATATATATATATATATATATATATATATATATATATATATATATATATATATATATATATATATATATATACATATATATATATATATATATATATATATATATATATATATATATATATATATATATATATATATATATATATATATATATATATATATATATATATATATATATATATATATATATATATATATATATATATATATATATATATATATATATATATATATATATATATATATATATATATATATATATATATAATATATATATATATATATATATATATATATATATATATATATAATATTTTTAAAAAATATGATTCCATCATGACACAAAATTACTCAGTTTTGAAACTGGTCATCCGTATTCAAGTGAAATTCCAATATTAAACCTTAATTGTTGGATGACTGTTTCATCCTTTACATGTGTATCGAGCACTGTTTTTTAAAAGAAGAACAAAAATGTTAAAAAACTTAGGATCATCAATCTAAAAGTTCTTTCCTATTTTATCAATACACACATACAAACACACCCACACACGCACGCAGACACACACACACAGACACACACACACATATATATATATATATATATATATATATATATATATATATATTACAGTTAAAAATCTTGACATCACCCTGGGTAATTTTTAAATTTTTCTCAAAAATTAGAAAGAATTATTACACATGGTTAAAAAAAAAAGCAACACATCATTTTTTTTAATAATGACAAATAGAAAAAAATAATATTGTGATGAAATTTTGCTCTCGTCAAAATATTTTTGATTACTGCAGCACAAATTTTTGCCATTCGTTGCAAATGTTTTTATAAGTTTGATAATTGACTTAATTCTTTATTCAAAGACTCAAAAAGCTCTTTTTTATCTTTTCTTTTTTTCACTCTTCTGTCATGTTCATCTCATGCTAATTCTCGGGGTGACTTCAAAATTTTGAACTGTGGTATATATATATATATATATATATATATATATATATATATATATCGAATCCTTTTTCAATATTACATGATATTATTACACAGAAATTGTCCGACTGAAAATGTTTATCGAGCTGATTTCAAAGTAGGAGTACTAACCACAATTGGATCGACTGAAGATGCATTCAAAAGGAGGTACAATAAGTATGTAACATCTTTCAGGTTGGAAAATATTGCAATATGACCACTCAGTAGAAATGTTTTCTTTTTCTTTTTTTCAATCTTGTTAACCCAAGCTGGGCCGTAAAGCCACTAAGACACAAAGGTTTTCCTGGGTGTGGAACAGTTAGAAATAGAAACATTACTATGGATTGAGAACAAAAGAAGAGAAATCAGGAGGACCGTTGATAAGGACTGACATTGTGTTTTCCACGGCTTTATTGTTTACTTCTCTCATTTATTTTTGTTTATTATGACCTATGAATGATATGTTGTGCAGGGAGAGCGGTGATTATCGGCGCGGAATCTGTTATCATGCTGTTGCGTCGTTTT